GAGACCCAGTCCCTCCTCACCAGCTTCTTCCTTCCCTGCATCTCCCATCACCTTATCTCGCTGCCAGCACCCCAGGGACCCCGTGCTCCCCTCTGCTGTGCTCTCTTGGTGGCCATGCACCTCTTCTGCATGAGCTTTCTGGCTGCTGCCATGCCAAAGAACAAAATGGAGCATATCTCCACTATGGGGGACAACCAGAGCCCACCCTCCCCATTGTGCTACTAGAAGCCAAGGAGCAACTCACCACTTGGATGGTTCCAGCTTTGGGGACACTGTAACCCTTCTTTCCCAAGGCCTCCAAGTCAATCACTCCCTGAGGCAAAAGAAAAGCATGTGAGAGAGGGACAAAGCCCATGGAGAGCACAGCTGGGACCCAGCATGGGTCTGAGAGGCCCCTCGCCAGAAATGCCTGGCACAAGGTGGCAAGAAGAGGTCCACGCAGTTCCTCTCCAGGGGAGAACAAGCAGCAACACAGAGGTGACAGCAAAGCAACAGCCATGAGGCGGTTGGGCAGTGGCCAGCCTGTTTATGTGCCCACAAGGGTTCCCTCTTCTTTCCCTCTTCACTTTTTGCATTCAACATTTGCTCCTGGCACACCTAGTGGTCTCCTCAGGTAGGTGACCACCTGTCTTGAGGCACGCTGTCCAGAGAAGGGCAATCCCCAGGATGTGTGGTGCCTGGGTACAGCCCCCACGCATCTCCCCCGCGGTCCCAGCGCTCCCTCCTCCTCGTACCAGGAAAGGGGAGGGCACATTGTGTTCTGAGATGTCAAAGTAGGTGACGTCAACAGGCAGGGTGACATGCTGGGGGCAGTAGGAGCCACTGGCACCGATCTCAGCTGTGAACCCCTCAATCCTCCCCGACGGTGGAAAGCGCCCTTTCAGGATGGATTCCTGAGAGAAGAGGGAAGCGTTAGGGACCTTCTAACACCAGTCCTGCCCCTCACCACAAAGCTGCAGGTGAGATCACCCCTATCTCCACTGCAGCCACGTGTCTGCTTGCCTTCATGTGTCCGGACACCACCCATTAGGGGCCCTGGCTGCTTGCTCTGAGACAGATCCATCTGAACTGATGGACTAAAACCAGCCATCTAACACAGAAAGGCAGCAAAACTGCCTCAGCTCAGCCCCGCAGCAGCCACCTCAGCAGGGTCCAGGGACCTGGTGCACCACCCAAGTATCTCCTGGCTGAGTCATCTTGCTGGTGGATAGTGGCCGTCTGACATGGCCATGGCACACCAGGTCCTTGGGGACAATCAGCCTAGCCCCACACTAGGGCTCCCTCAGGTTCAGACTCTCACCCTGTCACCAGCCCAGCCTGGAGCACCCAGGAGCCACCTCCCTCCCTGGCAGGTGGGTGCCATTACCTCAAAGCTGCCCAGCAGAGCACGGCTGATGGTCGTGGTGGCACAGCGTGCTGTGGAGGACCTGGAACCCCTCTGGAGGCTCCTCTTGAAATGTTGCCTTTGAGAGAGGAGAGAAGAATGGTTTTGTGCTGGAGAGCATGCAGCCTGCCTTGAGCTGACTGTGTCCTGGAGGGCATGGATCTCTTTCCAGGTTCCCCCTCCCCCCCATCCCTTTCTCTGGTGGAAGTTGAACCAAATCTCCTACCCCCAGGGGCAGAAGAAAACCCCCATTGCCACACAGCCTGAGGTTTTGTGGAGGGGAGACACATGGGGCAGAGCAGGGGAGAGTATTAGATGCAAACTGATGCTCCCATGGGTGCTGGGGTGGCCAAGCACCCTGAGCCCACATGTCATCCCGCAGGGCTGCCAGGACACTCACAGTTTGAGGCGCAGCAGCGTGTCCTTCAGCCTGCTCCCAACCACAGAGCTCTGGGGGAGACACAAAATCAAGAACCCTGTTAGGGCAGCAACAGGGGTCT